TTTCAGAATTTCTCAAATTTCAGAATTTCGAGAATCTTGTAATTTACACTGTAAAATTTCAAAAATTAGAAAATTGATAATTTGAAATTCCCTAATTTGAGAATCTATAAATGTAGAACCTAAAGATTTGAAAATTAGGAAATTTATATCTGATATTTTTATTAATATTATATTTCACTAAAATACAACTTCACATTGTTATTTAAATTCACATTTATTTGAATAACTTCATACTGTTATTTCAATACAAACTTAATAATATTATATAACTTTATAATACTATTTAAATTCACACTTAATTATATAACTTTATTATTTTTATAACTTAAATATTATTTAAGTTTGCACTTAATTATATTTACCTACTGTGATTCAATAATTTGAACCAACATCTCATGCAGAATCAAGAAACTTCTCAAGAAGTGCTCTTCTCAGTAACTACACATTTCTTGCATAGTTACACTGTCTGTTAAAGCGTTATTCCGGTAACAGAAAAACTTGGACAGATTACTGGGTGTAATTTACACTTTTTCAGGAGTTCGCAAGTTAAACTTGTGGGTACTTAAAATACCGACATCCTTTGTGAATAACCCTGTACGTGCCGGTTGTCTGCGTGTTAACTAAATTGTCTTCACGTGGAAAACGCTGTAAATATTTTGTTGCAAACAATGTAGTTATTTATCTTAGTTAACAAAATTAACACATTTCATTTAATTTTATTATTTAATTTATATAATGCAGCGAATTGTACAATATAAATTATATAATATGAATTACGTTTCATTTAATTTATATATTCATATGATTAGTATAAGATAAGCGTAATTTATATATTTATACGATTAATATATGAATTAAAATTGGTGTGAGTGTAATGTATCGCTTTCCATAAAATATTTACTAAATATATAACAATTGCTTTATATTTATTAAAAGATATTTAATATTTAAACATAGAACATGAACAATTTTTATTTTTATTTATAAATGACATAATCGCGCACATTCTTTTATGCTTCTTATGATATAACCTTGCAATTTATTAAAAGAATACTGGCGTGTCCTCACGCATGAAGAAAATAAACATTTTTTAATGTAAACATAACTTTCTAAGAATTTACTACAACAAGATTTTTACCGTATAAATAAAAGCTAACTGTATAAACTGCGTTACACAAAAGTATTCTTGTGGAACATAATTACTGATGCTTCCATACTACATTATAATTTTAATTTTACTTCAATTGCAATATAGAAGATTTTCCGTTAGTTTCGCATTAAGATGCTTGAAACTTATTACTAAGAACAGCGTTAAATTAAGAAATTAAGTAAAAAATTATTAACATTTTTGTCTAAATAGATATTGCAGTAATATTTATATGTAGATGAAAATTTAGTACTATTTACATTTGATAAATGACATTTTGCATTATATTGGTATTAACAAAATTCATTGAATTTACAGTGTATGATTAATTTTATGAACAATAGTATGTATCATATATTTTTGTAATAGCTTTCATATGTTTTTTATGGTATATTTCATATATTTCATATAATTTATTGTTGTGGTATATTGCATATACTTCATATAGCATGTTTCATACATTTCATGTAGTATATTTCACAAATTTCATATCATATATTTCATGCACTTTATGTAGCATATTTCATATATTTTTAATAGTATATTTCATATACTTCAAAATAAAATTCATGTTATGTAGTACATATTACATATTATGTAGTACATTTCTCATATTGTATAAGTATAGTATGTTTCATACATTTAATGTAAAATATTTCACATACATTTCCTTCTATGTCATAGAATTTGTCATATGTGAACGTCATATATGTATACATATGTCATATGTGTAATGTATGTCATATATTGTATATGACATACAACATATATTTTATTCTTATTTTCAGTAATATTTATCATAAACATAAGCAATAGACTACATTTCTTATATATAAACATCATGTATGTATACATATGTCATGTGTGTAATGTATGTCATATATTGTATATGTCATATATTATGTATGTCATATATTGTATATGTCATATATTATGTATGTCATATATTGTATATGTCATATATTGTGTATGTCATATATTGTATTTGACATACATCATATATTTTATTCTTATTTTCAGTAATATTTATCTCAATCATAAACAATAGACTACATTAATAATTTTTATACTAAAACTTGAGAAGCAACTTATATTTCCAAATAAAAAATCAACATACAAATCTAACCTCAACAAATAATAATTCATAAAAATTGAGTAAAGCTTGCAAATTATTTCCTAGTCATCATAAAATGTCTCAGATGTAAATCCTCAACATGCTTTCGCCGTTGATCACTATCTTACTTCTCGCACATTTAAGTCATTCATTTTATTACACTTCCAATCCCAACAATAAGATCATTATTGCAGGAAAAGTGGAATCTCTAAATGATTCTGTGAAATGTAACGCACTGCGTGAGAACGAAGTTCCATCACAAAGGAAGTGATTTGCAAAAAATAATTATTAAGACATTTCATAATAAATAAAAAAGTGAAATGAAGTTTCGTCATGTCATTGTGTTATACAGGCGAAAAATGATTACAGTGCGATGCTTTCGTTGCAGTCAGAGATTGCATCACGATTATTAGTCATTAATTGTTAATTGTGGTATCGTGAAAAAATTGAGGACGCCAGTAATCACATTCGATTTCTACAGCATCGGTTTAACGATTTGCTATTGTACTTTTCATTTCTTGTGTGCTATTTTGCAATGTTCGAACGCTGAGAGGTGCACAGATATTGTTACTCAATTTTATCAAGTAGGTCGCTGTATGTTGCATTTTATGATATACATTTTATTAATAAGAATAGGTTGCGTTCAAATTTATTGTAATTAGAGAGAATCTAATAATGATTCTTAAAAACTATATTGCATACTTCTGTAAAATGTTTATATGTAGATAGTAATAATTATTAGATTAGTAGATTAGTTAGAAAAATGTTTATAGATTTTTAAGTAAGTTGCTGTGCTTTCTGAAATATAATTTTGAAATTTTTTAATATTATTGGTTTTGAATAATACAGTTCAATTTCTAAACTCTCAAATTAATACATTAAAAATCTTAGGACTTTGGAATATTGAGATTTCAAATTTGAGGATAAAAAATTTGTAAATTCTTGAATTGTTACATTCATAAATTTAAAAAATTCTGAAGTAATTTTTGAAGTGATTTAATTTTCAAATTTGCAAGCTTTTAAATTCGTAAGTTCTTAAATTCTCACAGTGTTAAATTTTAAAATTTTTACATTCTCTGATCCAAAATACTCAAATTTTAAATTACTAAATTGTCGAATTTTCAAACACCAAACTTTCACGTTGCTAAATCTTAAAATTTCCAAATTCTCAAACCCCAAATTCTTACATTGCTAAATTCTCAAATTTATAAATTCTGTAATCTCAAATTCTCACATTCTTAAATTCTCAAATTGCAAAATTCTCACATTGTTAAACTCTCACATTGTTCGATTCTCAAGATTCCCAATTCTATAATCCCAAATTCTCACATTATTAAATTCTCAAATTCCACAATTCTCAAATTCCAAAGTTCACAAATTCTAAAATTCTCAAATTCCAAAATTTTCAAATTTTTAATTCCTAAGTTCGAAAATTCTCAAACCCCAAATTCGTAGACTACTAAATTCTCAAATTTTCACATTCCAAAATTCTCAAATTTCCAAATTCTTAAAACCCAAATTTTCAAATTACCAATTTCTCAAATTCCAAATTCTATAATCCCAAATTCCCAAATCTTGAATTCCTAAATTCTCAAATTCTTAAATTTCCCTACTCTCAAATCTTCAATTCCTCAAATCTCCACATTCTCAAATTCCCCAGCTCTCAAATCCCCCAACTCTTAAATCTTCCAACTTTTAAATCCCCAAATTCTCAAATCCTCAATTTCTCAAATCTTTTCCAAATTTTCAAGTCCCAAATTGTCATATTCCAAAATTCTTAAATTTCCAAATTCTCAAGTCCCAAATTGTCATATTCCAAAATTCTTAAATTTCCAAATTCTCAAGTCCCAAATTGTCATATTCCAAAATTCTCACATTGCCAAATTCTCAAATTCCAAATTTCTCAAATTGCAAATTCTATAATGCCAAATTCTCAAGTCTTAAATTTCTAAATTCCAAAATTCTCAAACCCCAAATTCTAAAATTGCCAAATTTCCAATTTCTCAAATTCTAAATCTTCACATCCTTAAATTCACAATTACCACATTTTACTTGTGATACATGTAGGATGGGAGCAAGAAGATGAGAAACGGATTAAAGTTATAGTAAATATTTTAATAAATTGAAAGGAATACAAAAATTGATAGTTCACGTTTCTACGGTTCGGCCAAGACTAGACTGTCTTTTCGACGCTGTCGCGTTTTTTTTATACTACGCATTCACACTCTTTTGTTTCACACTCGTACATCACACACACTCATACCACGCAAAAATTAATTCCCCTTTACCGAATCCCACACTCGGCCGTTCCTGACCTATCTTCGGTCCCCGATGATAAATCTAAATACGGTTTCATATAATCTGAGGCGGTACTAGTTATTTTTGGTCCTTCATCGTCCCCTAATGATTGATCATGCTTAATGCTTCACTCTTTATTTATTTAAAAACCTACATTAACGCAACTCCCCTGTAAAAATAACAAAATATCAACAGCAACCTCATACAAAAATTTGAAGGTTAATTAAAAACGTCGAGTTTTAATTGCACATCCAACTTATGAAATTTCTCACTTATATAATTCTCCGAAGCGTTACTCGTGGCGTGCACGTTACCTAAACGCGTCACGATATAAAAGTGCTGTCAAACTTTCCAATGATCACGAACCGCTCGCTAAATTTCTCCGGTACAAACTAAAACATATATACCCAACCATCAAAAATTTAATCAAATATTACTCACCGTTTCCATAGAACTGTCGTGCACGATGCTACGCTTCATTCTTCTTCCACAAGTTTCATCTACTCTTACAACCATATTAAAGTATACATTTTTCTAACAGTCGCACTATTTCATGTCTTATTTCAACCAATTCTTTTGTTACAAAACCACGTCTGAAATCACTCTACAATAAATTGTTCTTTCTAAACTTTCACTGGTGATACGTCACTTCGTTTAAAATCCGCATATTTCACTTTCGTAACTGTTTAAAAAATAATTTTGAATTGCGTTCGAGGAAATTGATATGTTTTAATGAGGAGGAGAGAGGTTTTTGTTTTAAGGGGTTTAGGGTATCAATTTAAGGGTGACAATGTGGTGATAAAGTGAGGAGAGCACGAAACGTGTTCACCTGAACAGGTGAGCTCGCGGCGGTATACTGAACGTTCGCCAACGGCGATAAACTCCGTTTACCCACGGCAGTGCATCACCCTCCTAACTTTGTCTGGTGTTAGAAATCGAGCTGTTACTCTTGAAAAATATTCTAACTGTATTTTTAATTTATAGTCGTATAATCCCTGATGCGATACTGTAATTTGTTTCAATAAAATAATCTGTCAAGTTTGGAACACATTTCGAATACACGTATAACAGAAAGGTATTACATTTCTGAATATAAAATTTGAAGGCTTGAAATATATTGAGAGAATATGTATGAAATGCATGTATGTATAAAACATATCTGGAAAACGGACCTCACATTTTCCATGAAATTCATGATTTTTTAAGTATAGAACCACTGAAATGTGAAGAAAAACCGTACAAAGTACAGTAATTATTTATGGTGAAAAATAATTGTGAATTCCTTGAATTATAAGTGTAATAGGATATGTGAATGGTTTAGTTACACATACGTTCATGTATGTTTGCTTCAACGATTTCAGAAATTGACAGAGTAATGTAACTTGACTACAAAAATAATTATTTTAGTTACTTGTATATGAACAAAATAAACTTTCAGTGGAAAAATTAGAGGAATCGTGAACCACATGTGTGTACGTTTCATACATGTTTTTCTTCACATTTGTAAAAATTAATAAAAACTATTATTTTTATATTTATTTAAAATATTATTAAGTTGACTACTTGTAGATGAATAAATTTTTTAGTAGGAATGATCAAAATTATTCACAAGCAAGAATCATTGAAATCATACACATATGTGTGTACGTTTTCCACGCGTCTTCCTTAATAATTACAAAAATTAATAAAAACTGCTATTTTTATTTGTTGTATTGGAACATCAACAACAGTTATGTATATTTAATATGAAATTTCAATAGTATTATTTTAATTACTTGTAGAAGAACAAAATTTGTAGTCAGCCTAAATTTTTAGTAAGAATGATCAAAATCATAATTGAACCACATGTTACATATGCATCTTCAGAACAGTTTTCTTAACAATTCCAAAAATTAACCAAAATATATTATTATTACGTTTTGTATTCTTACATCAGCAACAATTATGTAGATTTAATATGAAATTTCAGTATTATTATTTTAACTACTTGTAGAAGAACAAAATTGTTAGTCAGCCTACATTTTCAGTAAGAACGATCAAAATCATAATTGAACCACACTTTGCATATGTATCTTCAGTACAGTTCTTCAACAATTACAAAATTTAACTAAAAACTATTATTATTACGTTTTGTATTCTTACATCAGCAACAATTATGTAGATTTAATAAGAAACTTCAATATTATTATTTTAACTACTCGTAGAAGAACAAAATTTGTAGTCAGCCCACATTTTCAGTAAGAACGATCAAAATCATGATTGAACCACATGTTACATATACATACACAAACGTACATAAAATACGTACATAAACTGTATCTTCAGTACATTTTCCTCTTAAAATGAAGTTAGAAGTCTTACGTTTTTTCTAATCAGCAAATCCACAAAAGTTCAAATACGAAATTTCAAAACTATTTCTATAATTACTTGCAAAGGAAACCTCTCAGTAATGAACCACTCGCAGAAAAATAAATGAAAGCATCATTCAGAGATCGGTGTTTATCGATCAATAACCGCGTTATCGAATGATCGATTCGGTCACCTGTTCGGGCGGACTCACGACAACAAACTGAAGACAGAACTAAGAAAGGCATGGGGAGATCGGTGGCCGGTGTTCGTTCTGCGGTGTGAGCACTGACCGTACACAGAATACCACAAAACGTACGGTTGTTCGAAGTTAAATTCAGCCCATCGTGTTCTCCGAGGCGTGCACCGACGGATTTCCCCTCTTCCCGTCCTTTGGTCACCTGTCTGGACACCCGTCCACAGGATCATACTTGCGGGAAAGGTGGGGAATCGATCGAGGAGCAGAAATTCGTGATATCCGCGCGAAATCGATCGCGATCGTTCGCTGCTAAAGTAGGCTAAACGAAAATGATATCACGGTTTAGAGAGAAATGAAGGTCAGCCAGCAGATAAGTTCTGGACGATTATAAAGTAAGATGTAGAAGTGTTAGTTTGGAAAAGTAGAGTTTCTATTCTTCTTTTCGAAATATTCATTGGCCTACATTGTTTAGGTATCATCGGTATGCGTTTGTTCTTTTTACGATTGCAGTCGCTGTTCTTAGAGTTTTATTGGATGGAGTAAGTTTTATTTTCTCTATAGTAATTTACAGATACTGCTTTACTTTCTCTGTAATATTTGTACGGATAGAAGTTTTACTTTTGCCGACCTTGATTAGGCAGCAGGATTTGTGTCTTCTGGGTCTATGGGAATAAGGAAATAGTCTTACTATGTTTAATATCTGATTTGAACATTTATTTGAACCTTGTTATGAACTGATTTGAACCTTGTTATTACAATGATTATATCAAAACTATGTAATATAATAATACTGCCTAATTTTAATAACAAGAATAAGTGTATTACTCGCAAGAAATTAATATAATAAACCGATAATATGGCACAAGCCTTCAGACATGCTTCTTAATTTTATACAAATGGCGCCCTCAGAATATAGCACACTAGTGTTATCTGCAGGTGAACGTCAGGACTAACAGAACAGAAGGCTTCGTTTTATGAACTCTGCAAACCTTTTGTCATTTCGATTTCATATTTTATAGGAATTAGAATATCCTGTAGTTTCAAAGCAATGCAAATAATGACATCATAATTTACTTAGAACGTAATGATTGTAATCTAAAAAATTATAGTTTATGAAACATGAAATGATTTACTGAAATAGACCATTAAAACTAATGAAACAAAATTTTATTTGTTTGTCTGGTGTGTGATTGTTTCGGCTTTCTAGGGTTCGAAAACATTTTTTCTTTCAATGAAATGTGAAATGACGATCATAATTGTTGTGTAGATCATTTAGCTGTCTGATATAGCGGAACACTGTACCGCTTTGTGATAACAATATTTCAAAATTAGTCAGTTCAATGTACTTTTTGCTTCTAGTGTTTCACTCCATTTTAGTTATTATTAACACACTGAATAAACTAGTATACAATTTTCCAAAAAGAAACTATTTTATTCTCTTCTCTTGTTACTAGATAAATGCTGTAGAGTTCAAAAGTGCAATAATTTAAATTATCAACTGTCATAAAAACTGAGGCGATATATTAAATGTGTTGAAACCATTGGAAGTACTAATTGACACAGTAGAAAACAAAACAGTCACTAATTTTTTAAAAGAAATACAATTTTCTAGATTGACAATGTTATCCTGTATCGGTAGATGACGCTAGCGATACAGTTCGCAAAGCGCGCGTTCACACAAAATGTAGAAATAAATTATGTGAAATAAAATATAATTTTTGATATTAATAGAGTTTATGAGCTATTATTAATACAACTATTACTGTCCAATCTGATGAATTTCTTATTTTTCACTTATTCTTTTTATTAATATAAATTATACATACATTCATTATTTATATTAATATCAATATTACATATTTATATGCGCCTCTTATAATTTATATTAATATCGATTCGTCCTCTTCTTGGTACAAATTGGAAACACGCTGTATAAATACAAAAATTGTTTTATAAATGTAACTCATGATGTTGTGAATATCAGGTGCATATAGGTTTCCCTAGAAAAAATAGTCTCTCTAGTTATAATCCATACTTGCCACATATAGTATCTAGTTTACTCAAAATATTTTCGGACTTGATAAACAAACTGTTTTCAGATATGCATTTGTTTGCAAAAATAACAAATGAATTTACTATTAACTTCGAAGTCACTTTAAAAAACTTTAGCCAGTGACTACAAATGTTATAGTCGGTCTCGGTTGAAATTGTTGCTGCATTCGCCAGTAGATGACACTAATAGCGCTGTGGCGGTCTTTTTAAAATTCAGAAGTAAAGTGTTCAGCCCATATAATATTGCGTTGTAAAACAAAGCAAAAGTTCTCCATAAACGAAACATGATGGTATTTTATTACAGAAGAGACTATTACTAGAAAGAAAAATGTTGAAATACAAATATTGCATCCAAACGCAAATCATAGTATTTAGAATGAACTTGCAATGTGTTCTCTGATTTTTTGAACAAGTATAGGTAAAAATTTCAAGTAATGAGTGTAAATAATTTGTAGAATATTAACTATATCTACTCAACCATTATTTATAACAAATTTTGATATTCAATCTTATTAAATTTGACCAACATTTTTCATTAATACGTATCGTTTTCTGACCATCTAATTTTGAAAGAAGCACAGACATTTAATTCTGAAACTTAAACATTATCTATTTCAAATAGAATTTACGAACCGTTCCAAATAGTAATAATATAGTACTAACAAATTATTATCGTAACAAAGATGTTTTAAATAGATTTAAACAAAGCTTGAAGTGCAATATTGGAGAATCTGAAAAATGTATTAAAAATATCGTAACCGATAACGTTATACTGCACATGTTTGCAAATATTTGTCAGAAACATCCCCATGTCCTACCATATAATTTACCCTGCGAGGAGAATAATGATGATTAGTACGCAATTAGAAGCGAAGG